TTTTATATATTTATATATATATTTTTTCTTCTCAATTTCTGTTTAACAGAGAGATTTTTTTAACACATTTCTAAACATAATAGTTTTAATAACTCCTTTCTAATAACTTATTTATTTTATCTTTGCCATGATGACAGTAAATAATATTTTTACTAGATATTTTCAAGACACTTCTATACAGCTTAAAGTGACATTTAAAGGCTTAACTAATGAGGGTAACTAGGCAGGTTAGGGTAATTAGGCAAGTTATTGTATAACAATGGTTTGTTCTGTAGACTCAAAACAAAAACAAATAAAGCTTAAATGGGCTAATAATTTTGACCTTTAAATGGCTTTTAAACAATTTAAAACTGCATTTTTCTAGCTGAAATGAAACAAATAAGACTTTTTCCAGAAGAAAAAAATATTATCAGACATACTGTGAACATTTTATTCCTCTGTTAAACATAATTTGGGATATATTTAAAAAAAGAAGAAAAAAATGAAAGGGGCTAACAATTCTGTTAAATACTTCATCTGTAAATACAGTTTAAGTTAGAATTTTTAGCCCCCCTGTTTATTTTTCCCCAATTTCTGTTTAACGGAGAGATTTTTTTCAACAAATTTCTAAGCATAAAAGTCTTAATAACTCATTTCTAATATCTGATTTATTTTTTCTTTGCCATGATGACAGTAAATAATATTTTACTGGATAATTTTCAAGATGCTTTAATTGAGCTTAAAGTGACATTTTAAGGCTTAACTAGGTTAATTAGGCAAGTAGGGTAATTAGGCAAGTTATTGTATAAAGATGGTTTGTTCTGTAGACATTCGAAAAAACCTAGCTTAAAGGGGCTAATATTTTTGACCTTAAAATGTTTAGTAAAAAAATTTAAAACTGCTTTTATTCTAGCCAAAATAAAACAAATAAGACTTTCTCCAGAAAAAAAAAAAATTAACAGACACACTGTGAAAATTTTCTTGCTCTGTTAAAAATCATTTGGGAAATATTTAAAAATAAAATTAAAAAGAGGGGCTAATAATTCTGACTTCAACTGTATATTTTTTATTTTATTTATTTTTTATTGAAAATGTTTAAGTTATTTAATGCTTAAAATTAACATGTACATTTAAGAGTTAATCAGTGGCATCCTAAGAGAATTTTCAGATCTAATTAATCCTAATTTAACTTTTGAAAAAAAAAAAAAAAAAAATACTGTCTCCAAAACCCCCCGACTTTGATTGGCCGTTTTCAATACCTTGACTCCCATCACAAGTATTTATTATCAGCTCTGTGTTCATCCCTTGGTCGCTTTAGCCAATAGCAGAACAATAATTACTGGAAAGATGAAGATAAACATAGTAAGGCCCCATCTGATTGGTGAAATGTAGATAAATAACCAGTGAATAAAGTAAATGTAATTTAAAACACGTCTGTGACACATATATTACATACACTATTATCATGATTTTAATAATTTTGCAATACAGTGCTCAGCATAATTGAGTACACCCCATTTTAAAAATGAATATTTTTATCCATTTCTTAGTGAATATAGGCAATGTATCTTGGTGCATTTAAACAAAACAGATTTAATAAATATTAAATATATTTATTAAAATTATATTTTAGTCCTCTAACATTATTAGAAATCGAAAGATAATACAGTTGATTTCAAGCAAAATATTGCAAAGAAAATACAACCTACAAAATTTCAACTAAATTTTCTTGATTTTTTTCTCTTTTTTAAAAAATGTGTATTTAATATTTTTCTATAACATGAATTTGGATGTACTATTTTGTTAGATAAGCTCCAGATTTGGCTTCATTACTGACTAATCTAATGTATATGCGCAAATATAATATTGTATAGCTTCCTATTTCAAATATGAATTTAAAGAGATATTTGTGAGGGGCTTAGTTATGAGCACTGTATATTGTGCAGTCCTAAACACTGCTGTTAGAAGAAGCATTGCATTTATGCTATTAAATAAATTAAATACCCGCTATAATCACTGTTGTTACAAAATGTCATATAAATCATAGAAAAATTGTGTTATCTGCAGAAGTCACTCAACAAATCTGTGGCATTTTCAACGGTGGGTAATTTAAATGCATCTGATTAACAATGGTTTTCTTAAGCTCAACAGCAACATGTTGATTGGTTTTACCACTGAGAAACGTTCAGCTAAATTGTGCTTGCCATGTAGGTTTTCTGATGATCAGGTTTTCCATTGTTTCAACATTGGATCTAGGCTGAAGTTATTATGGTGAATTCTATGCCATTGTTACTTTCCTACAGTGTGTTCAATCTTTGAAGATTGTGGAAGGCTCCAGAGCTAAAGTTCAGATATGCTAATAATGAGTGTTTGGTTTCTTACACATGCTGTTTGTGGCAGACCGATCACTACAGACTCAGGCATCTGACCACGTCCGACCATAGTAGAGGCCATACATCTGCAAACAATAATTTTAGATTGATTAGAGAAATTAGGTGATTGTAAATGTACATCATGAAAACATGACATTGAATGCATGTAAGCCTATTGTTCTTTAAAACCAAATTACTTGTAAATAGCATAATAAGGCCTCTTTAAAACTGTTTTTGGGGAACCCGTTGTTTCTCTATGACATTCGTTGTAAAATCCTCCTAATTTTAAATTACAGACTTGTCCATGTGAATACAGTACATGGATTTTCACACATAGTTGTATAGCACTACATACTACATTAGAAGTTCTGTGATGGATATCAATCTCTCTTCATATTGCCTTTAGAATAATGCAACTATGAAAAACAAATTGACTTTCTTTTTAAGCATTATATTTTTGATGATCTCTAATTTTAGAAGCTGCACTATCAAACTGTAACTGAATATTTCTTATTTATTGGTAATAAAATTCATGTTAGTATTAATATTCTCTATTATTATATAAATGATGTATATGTTACTTAATATAGCGTATTACCTGCATACCTTATGTAATGCATTGCATTTTTCAATTATTAGTTGAGGTAGACTTTCTAAAAATAACAGTAAATCTTATTGTAAAGTATTATTACACTCTCAGAAAAAAATGGTACAATGTTTTTTTTGTTTATGATTTATTTAACATTTTTCCACTTTACAAACATATCAAACAACCCTTACAGAAATAATAATGGAAAAATATATATATAAATACAAATAATAATAAAATAAATAAATAAATAAATAAATGAAAATAATAAAATAAAACCAAATTACACAAATAATGCGAGGCAGATGTTTACATTTATACAATAATCATCATGTTACATTTCGATTAATGTGAGATTACAAACTGATGTATTATTATTATCAAAGGCTGGGGTGATCAGTCTAGATCCAGCTGGAGAGTTTTAACATAAAAAATGGTACAATGTTGTACCAAAGAAATTACAAACCCTTGTCACTGGGGCGGTACCTTTTTATGGGACAAAATTGTACCTTAAGACAAAGAAGCAAATTTGTACCATTGCAGTTTGTACCCTTAAGGACACGATTTGTACCATGGGAATTGGGAAACCAAAATGTACCTTTAGTTTTTAAAACCTGCTGGTACAATATTGTACCTTCATCAAAGGTACAAATCTGATCGATGAAGGTACCACCACAGTGACAAGATACTTCGTACCTTAACAGTGTCAAAAATGCTTACCAAACATTTATTAAAAATGCTTTAAATGTTTAGTTTACAATACCTATAGTATATATAGTATACCAGTTGTTTTGTATTATAGAACTTAATAAGTAAGGTTATTTATAAACAAATTTCGCGAGGATCACGTGCTTATGATTGTTCACAGCTGTTCCAGCATTAGCTCATGACTAATTATCCTATCAGACGATTCCTAACTAACTATAAATAACCAGAGTTTTCTCATCTCAATATCTTCGTCTTGAAAAAAAAAAAACCCACCCAACCCTACTTTCCCTTCTTTCAAACGGGCAACACGGTGGCCAGTGATTAGCACTGTTGCCTCACAGCAAGAATGCTGGTTTAATTCCTTTCCAAACTAGGCAACATTTCTGTGTAGAGTTTTGCTCGTTCTCCCCGTTCTCGCGTGTTTTTTTCCTCAGGTCCTCTGGTTTCCTCTCACAGTTTAAAAACAAGCACCCTAAACAATTAATCCAAAATAGTTTTAGCCAAGCTCTGAGTACACCTCTTCTCAGCATTCATATCTGACACTTAGCTATAAGCAAGAGGGGGAGTCATCGAGATCTACCTGAGCTCAAACTCCCCTCTCGCCCTGCAATGAGAGGGAGCCCACGGCGCGAAGATCTTATAAGCCTAGGGCTCTCTCCCAGGACAGCCTGCCAAACAAGCTTTATCATCAATCATCAGCTAAGTGTGAACTCCTGAAATAATATTTGTTTTTTTAAACATATATTTTTAAATGATGATTCATGTTTTAATATGGAAATTATTCATAAAATCACTTTGACTTTCCAGTAAAATTTATTTTCATTGATATTGTAATAAAGAAGGAGTTGTTCAACACTTATGTACCTTTAATATGGGAACAATTGTACCCTCATTTCAGTTGTAATGTAATGTGTGTATGGCCATACACCCAAAGCTCTTCACGATCCTGAGGGGGGACTCTCCACACCAGCACCAGCGTACTGCTTGCATGATGCGACGGTAGCCACAGGACAACGGCGCCAGTGCGCTCACCACACACCAGCTATTGGTGGAGTGGCAAGACAGTACCTTAAAAGGCACAGAACAGTATCATAAGAGGTCTTTTCTGTACCATATAAGGTATATTTTACAAAGGGACAAAATTGTTCCTCAATGAACATTATTTTTACCACGTGTACCTTTTTTCTGAGAGTGTATAATGTAGGTGAAAAATAACTAATAAAACTTTTCTTCTCTCTTTTACTTGACAACTCTTTCTTGTTAATTGGTCAATGTTAAGAAAAGCAAAAAAAAAAAAAAAGTACAATTCGGTGCCGCTCATTATCATTCTCATGGATTATTATGTCTTGTCCTCAGTCTCAGGCCATCCACAACGGAGTGTCTGAGGTTATGGAGGAGGAAAGCAACTTAAAGAAACGAAAAAGTGAACAACAAGGTAACCAGGGCTCTGAGACTGGTCAAGAGGGGGTGGAGAAGGTCAAAAAGCGGCGTGGTCGCCCTCCTGCAGAAAAGCTGCCGCCCAACCCTCCCAAACTCACCAAACAGATGAACACCATTGTAGACATGGTCATCAACTACAAGGACACGTCAGTATCAAACACACAAACCGGCTTGCATTTATTAAACGACACTAAAACTGAATGATGAACTGCAACAAAAATGTTAAAGTTCATGCTGTTTCCTTTTATTCCTGAAAAGAAGAGTTCAGTTACTCAGTTAAAAGAATTTACAGTTAATTTACTCACTTTCAGGCCTGAGAAGACTTTTTTCTTTATTAGAATTTTAGCCGTACCTGTGGTTCTTGGTGATTCATATAACTCATACCAACGGTCATCTGTTTTTGAGATTGAAAATAAACAAATACAAACAAATCAATAGCCATGGCTCCTGTTGACACACTGATGTCTTGTAAAGCGAAATGATTGGTCTGTGTAGGAAACGCAATATTATGAGCTTTAATGTTGGTACGAATACAGTGCTCAGCATAACTGAGTCACCCCACTTTGAAAATGATAATTTGTATCCATTTCTCAGTGAGTATAGGCAAAGTATTTTGGTGCATTTAAACAAAGCAGATTTATTAAACAGGTATATTTATTAAATAATATTTTAATCACCAAACATAGTTAGAAATTGAAAGGTAATATAAATTAAATACAAGCAAAATATTGCAATAAAAATTAAAACTACAAAATTTATGTTTAAATTTATTTTGCTTCTCTTGATTCTTTAATTTTTTTCTATAACACATACATTTGGGTGTACTAGTTTTTGGACCATTATTGTTAGTTATTTTGTTAGATAAGCTCCAGATTTGGCTTTAGTACTGACTAATTGTTATGATCACCAGCGGCTGGTGAACTACAAACTCATCCATGAACTACAAATCTCTGCATTCCATTACACACACCAGTCACTATACTCCACTGATCACACATGCACAGCTGACTCTCGTAATTATTGATTATCCAGACTATATATACACCCTACACACAATCAGTCTGCAGTTAGTCTTTGTTGTTTCCTTGTCAAGTCACTGTGTTTTTGCCTCAGTTTAAGTTTATACTTTTGAGTTGATGCCTTGTTTAAGACCTTATGACTGTTTTGACTATGATTTTGGATTGCCTTGTTTGATTCCTGATTTCTCCTATTTTTGTCCAAGATTACCTGCACGAATACTATCTTTATTAAATTATTGTTAAGCTGTACTTGGATCCTACCTCTCTTGTCTTCGCCATGCCGAGACCCAAATGTGACCCTAATCTAATGTATATGCACAAAAATAATATTGAATAGCTTTCTATAAAACGTGAATATGAAGGATAGATTTGTGAGGGGTGTACTTTTATATGCTGAGCACTGTATACTGCAAATATATCATCAAGAAACCAAAAGCATGAACTCAATGCATTCATGGATGCGCCATAAACTGTTTGCCCAGGCTGTGGATTAACGTTAATATTGAAAATAATGTTCAAGTGAATCACCAATAATAAACATCTTCTTTATTGGTCTTAAGAGGAAAATCACCTGCATTTTGGATAATTTTCATTTTTGGGAAAACTGTCCCCCATGTCAGATCAGAGCTATTGTATCCTGTATGCAAGATGAAATGTGTAAGGTTTTTAAAAGTTTTTTACCTTTACCTAAATACAACGTTATTCTGTAGGTTGGGCCGACAGATCAGTAAAGGCTTTGTCCAGCTGCCTTCAAGAAAAGAGGTGCCGGAGTACTACGAGCTCATCCGCAAGCCAGTGGACTTCAGGAGGATCAGGGTGAAGTATCTGAGATCCCCTCAGCATGTTTATTCACCATCCCACAATCCCTTCTGTCTTATTTTTTTTTTGAATGTCCAGTTCTGAGCCTTTGCTTCCATCACTTCATTTCCAGGAAACCATCCTTTTTTCCTGTTTTCATCTTTACTCTGACATCCATTTCAACCCAAGAAATGCATTGATTTGTTGATCACACAGGTTTGTGTGTTTTAGGTGAAAGATTTTACTTATTGATTAAATAAAAAATTTAAAACCGTTCTTGCTTAAAATGTACTGCAGGCATTTAAAGGAAAATAGTAAAGTAAGAAATATATATGTAGCTATTAAAGGGAAAGTTCACCGTAAATTGAAAATTTCCTCACCGTTTACTTACACTGAAGGTGGTTTTAAACATTTAGGAATATTTTCTCTCTGTCATACACAAAACAAGATATTCTGAAGAATTTTGGGGGAACAGCCATAGACAAACATAGTAGGAACAAAAATACTATTGAAGTCAATGGCTGCATTTTTTCTTCAATATGTATTCAGTAGGTTCTTCAGTCAGTATATCTCCCCTTGTGTTCGGCAGAAGAAAGAAGCGTACAGGTCTGGAACAAGTGGAAGTGGAGTAAATGATGACAGGATTTTCATTTATAGGTCAACTATCCTTTTAATGTAACGGTTTCTTTGTTCTCTTGTTCTCTTTGTTCTGTTTTACACAAGGGATGTCAAACTCATTTTTCGCAGGTTAAAGTCTGGTTCAGGAAAAAATGTCTCCTTTTGTAGGGCAAACTACTTTAAAACTTAGTTTGCTCCAAATTACAATCATGTTAACTAGATCATACAGACTAACTAACTAACAAACTAACAACTATATAATTCTTTTTTCAGTGTTGATCCTAGCTCACTTTGTGAAGTTTATTTATAAACTAATTTCGAGAGGATCACTTGCTTATGATTGCTTGCAGCTGGCTCCGCATTATTCAATTCATGATTCACCAATCAGAGGATTCCTAAGCCACTATAAATACATTAATGCTGTGTCCGAAACTGCCTACTACTCAGTAGGTACAGCATTTGAATTTAAATGTACTACTCGGCCGTTAGAAAAGTACGTTCTATACAGTATAAATGTGAAAAGTATGAATGGAATTTGGATGTACTACATCCGCTATTTTGCCATGGTCACGTGACCTACCTGCGTCAGTTGTGTCGCTTCACTTCCATTCGTGAATTCTCTCGCGGGGCATTATGGGATAGCGCAGAGATCTACCTGAGCTCAAACTCCCCTCTCGCTCTGCAAATGAGATAGAGCCTCGGGCTTGAGGATCTTATGAGCTCAGGGCTCTCTCCTGGGACAGCATGCCAAACACGCTTTATAATCAATCATCAGCTAAGTGTGAACTCTTGAAAGGGATGTATGATGTCAGCAAATAATTATGTCCCAATATTTTTTGTACATTTTTGTGAAACATACAGAAACGGGCAACATTGTGTCTAAAATGTAACTCACATAAATCTTACGTATTATGTGATTTATAATATTAATTAATTTCCAATTGTGCTTATATTCTGAAAAAAACACACTTTTGCTTGCTTTTTTTCTTTTTCGTTTGTGATATTACACATTGTTAAAAGAAAAATGATGGTATTATAGTAGATGTTAGGGTTGTTGCGATGCCATTAATAAATCCTACAATACTATACCAGCTGAAGTATAACAATACCAAGTAGTATTGCGAGACTGTAATTCATAACTCAAATTATAAAGAAAATTGTCAGAAATTCTATATTTTATGTTATAATAGGTCTGCTTGAATTTAATTCCTAACTCCCTTAAGGCTAAAATTATTTGCACCTCACTTCACTGTTAATTTTGTAGATAACTGACCAACAAAAAAATACATTGAAATAAAGATACAAATTATACCGAATTAAATTTGTTACAAAACATTTTCTCAACAAAATTAGCCTATATGAAGTGGCCAAAATATGTTCCAATGTTTCATGTTGCTATTTTGGATTTTTCTTTTTTTTTCAGTCTTGTCAGGTAGCAATTCAAAGTAATTTAAAATTTCACTTTGTGTGTTGTTCTTTTTTTAAAGATTGTTGCAGTTGTTGTAGCTACTAAATCATTTTAACAGGAACATAAATGAACCAATTTAGATGTGCGTTTGAATTAAAGCATTAAAAAATGTGCAATAGGCCACCATAAAATGCAAAAATTCTACACAGTTTTGCAACCTTAAAGGGCTCCACAGACCATTAAACTAAAATGGTCTATTGTTGCACAAACGTGTGAGCATTTTAGTGACTTTTCCACATGCACCGTTATCTATGGTAGATAAAACATTAATGACGATACTACCATTTACAAACCACAGTGGCACTGCCAGTATTTTGGAGCCATAGTATCGCGATACCACCATAGTACCGGTAAAGCGTGCAACCCTAGCAGATGTTACTTGTGTCTCGAACAATTGTTTTACATTCAATTAAAGATATTGTAATGATTATAGTGCATTAAAAAATGTAAATCATGTTTTTACATATTACTACGTTATAATCATGTCTGAATCTTTCCTTTGCCTGAGAAGGGCTCTTCATATATTTGGAACCCCTGTCTTATACCAAATTTATTCTTGTGTTGTTTATGCAGGAGAGAGTGCGTAATCACAAATACAGGTGCATTGCAGACCTGGAAAAGGATATCATGCAGATGTGTCACAACGCTCAGACATTTAATCTGGAGGGATCTCAGGTGTGTCTTTTCTATCCATTAAAAGACTTTCAAAATAGTTTGTTTTCTGTGCACTTTATTAGTACCTGTACTGAGCCAATTTTTTTCCGATAGTGTGTGTGTGTGTGTGTGTGTGTGTGTGTGTGTGTGTACATGTTTTTGTGACATATCAGGACACAAATCTGTATAATGACATAGGTATGACACAGGTATTACAAAAAGGAGGTGAAATATGAGGACATCTGTGATGTCCTCATTTCTCAAAATGCTTATAAATCCTACAGAATGAGTTTAATCAGAGAGTAAAGCTGCACACTGTCTCCTGTGATGCTTGGGTTTAGGGGTGGGGTGGGATGAGGGCAATATAATATACAGTTTGGACAGTATAAAATGAATGGAAACCTATGTAATGTCCCCACTTTTCACAAAAACAAACATTTGTGTGTGTGTATTTTTTTTGTTGATGTTATAATTGGGGTTGTTCACTGTTTCTCTGATGTGACCTTTTATATGTTTCGATTTCCACATTCATACTTTTCCTGAATTACATGTAATCTCACAACACAGGAATTAAATTTACACCCACCTTCCACTTTATCATGTACATCTTACTTTATTATGTTACCCCCTTTGCCCTCTGCTAAGTCATTGCTGCAGAGATTCAAAATGGTGCAAGAAACATATCTCAGAGATTTTGATCTATATTGACTAGCGGTGTAATGGATCACAACCCATGGTAATGATGACAGAAGAAATTGTGGAGGCATCTAAAGGATTTCTTGGGTTATCGAAGGTGTTGTTTGTCACTACTTGTTTAGCCAGCATCAATGCATTCAGTGTAAGCTGCACAGTTAATCATTAAAAGGTCATGATCTTAATTCAAACACCCTCACGAGATAAATTATGAATGATAATGATTTGAATATGTTTATTAATCCATAGATGCACTGCATTCAGTTTTGACACGTTTAAGTTACAAAGTTACAAGAAATCAAATAACACACTGATATAAACAGGTATAAACGCTGATGTTTATGGTAAAAAATTAATTCTCAGTTTAATGCAACTGGATTCTGTTGAAAGTTGTAGCAATTACATTGTTTAACCCAGGGGTTCCCAAAATTTTTGTTATGAAGGGCCAAAAACCAAACTTGTTTGAGGCTAGTGCTGAAGGTAAATTTAGCAGCCATGGGTCATTTCCTAATTTATTTAATAATATTTAAAAATAATTAAAAAACTATTTTTTTTTTACATTTTACTATGAACTTATTACAGTAAAAACAATCTCAATTTCATTTATAACAAAATGGAGTTACTGTATACTAGTTTTGCCTTGATATGCTCACCAATGTCTTCTGCATAGACTTCTATCCGTCGAGTAACTGAATTTACATTTTTTAAAAATCAGAATTATTTACACATTTACTTAAAGCATTTAATTTCTGTTTGCTTTTTTTGTAGCTCAGCAATAAAACAAACAAACCAAAAATGTTATGTCAAATGTAAAGGATGATCTCTTTCAAAGGCATTCTCCCCAACCCTATCCATCCTTTTCACCCTCTTCTCAGGTGGGATGGTGGGCCAAATCAAAGGTTATAATGGGCCAACTTTGGACCCCACTCCTAACCCTGCCTGTCACCAGATACTGTTGAGAATATGTCACTGAATAGTTCTTCTAAAATAAAACTTGTTTGTAGATCTAGTAATAAAAGAAAAATGAAGATTCATGAGTGAATTATTAAATAATTAATTGAAAATAAAACTAAAAATAAATATGATGTGTTGTACAAGATTATAATATTAGATGTATACATTAACATTATCAGCAACAGTCTGGAAGATTTTACTTTTTTTTTAGCTTATTTAAAATTTTCTTAAAATTACAGGATCTGTTTGTTAAAACAAAAGTTTCTTGCACTAATGTTTTTGTAATAAATAAAAAAAATTAATTATACTTTCTCTCTGTCTTTTTTTTTATCTGAAAAATGGTCCGATCCGTGACTCAAACCATAGTGTGATCTGAACTGTGAGATTTGTGATCTGCTACACCACTCATATTGACATGACAGCGTCACACAGTTGCTGCAGATTTGTCTGCTGAAATCCATGATGTGAATGTCCTGCTCCAGCTCTGTTAGACTGAGATCTGGTGACTGTGGAGGTCATTTTAGTTTAGTGAATTCATGCTCATGTTTCAGTTGAGATTATTTGAGTTTTGGGACAAGAGGTTAACAAGTGGTTATTAGAGTTACAATTGTCTTTGACAAGGCATTTTCACCCTCAGAACAGTCGCTCACTATATATTTACTTTAGTTCAAGACTATTTTCTAGAGATGGCTGTGGAAAAAAATGTCAGTAGTTTTGACATACTCAGGCCAGCTCAGAAGAAATTCATATACATAGAGGATGACTTGAGGGTGAGTGAATTAATGGGGTAATTCTAATTACCCCTTAATTTACTCACCCTCAAATCATTCTCGGTGTATATGACTTTCTTCTTTCAGACAAACACAGCCAGTGTAGTTTTAAATTTTATCCTGACTCTTTCTTGCTGGTGTTGTGTAGTGTAGTGTTTTTTTTCAAGCTTCCAAAAGAGAATAAATCCATCATAAATCTCATCCATACGCGCTTATGAATGCATGCTGTAGACAACTTTTTAGCTGATCTCTGATTTAGCATTTGACTCGTGACATAATATGCATTCGTAGTTAAAGCGTTAACTAGAGGGTCAGACAGAACCTGCTGACAGTTTTAGGATAAATTAGGTTTGAATTTTAGTAGATCTTCTTGAGCATGTATCTGTGCTTATGTGTTATCTTTCTGCCATCTGATTGGCTGATTAGATCTTGCCATTGATGAGCTGTACCCAATAAAGTGGCTAGTGAGTGTTAATGCAAATAGGTTAGATTTCATTCATTCATTTTCCTTCGGCTTAATCCTTTTATTCATCAGGGAATGCCTGATAAATAAACACAGCGGAATGAACCGCCAACTTATCCAGCATATGTTTTACACAGCGGATGCCCTTCCAGCTAAAACACACCACTGGGAAACATCCATACAGACTCATTCACACACATACACTACGGCCAGTTTAGTTTATTCAATTGAACTACAGAGCAAGTTTTTGGACTGTGAAGAAAACCTGTAGCACCCAGTGAAAATCTACACGAATATGGGGAGAACATGCCTCCACACTCCACACAGAAATGCCAACTGAAACTCAAACCAGCGACCTTCTTGCTGTGAGACGACAGTGCTAATTATTACTGAGCCACTGTGGCGTCTAGATTAGATTTTTATTTTAGATTTTTGTTTACTTATTTTTATTGACTTAGTTCAATAAAAATGAATCAGAACATTTTTTGTAAGTCAAAAAGCTATTTGTATTGGCAAATATAAAACTATGTATGTGTAAAGATGTAATTAATGTCTTTCTGTGTCTCAGATCTTCGAGGACTCCATTGTTTTGAAGTCTGTTTTCGAGAGTGCCAGACAACGAATAGTGGAACTGAGTGAGGAAGACAATGACGCTGTTGGAAGCAGTGAAGCTGATGGTAGCCACCATTTAGATATCAAGGGTAAGTCAAAATGCACATGGAGATGTGGAAATTCAGTATCGAAATCAAAATATTAAAGATATTGTCTTTATGAGTATTAAAGTAAGGTGTTGTATGAATATTTTATTTTATTTTTTTATCTCAAAGCTCCTGTTTCAGAGACAACAAATCCCAGGCTGGATGAAAAAAAGGAGAAAAATCAAACTGCTCCTAGTAATTCTAGTTCAAAAGAGGTGGCGCACAGTGATGAAGACATTGGTAAAGATTGTGGAAATACCACAAGAGGACTATTCAACTAGCCTCATATACTGAGCATTGTCATTTTAAGAACATTGTATGGCCATTTCAGTCCAATTTCCTTGATGTTTGGCTCAAGGATTTGCTCTGAATGTGATCTCTCATAAAAATTGTTGCTTAAAACACCTTTATAATACCTTTGTATTTAAAAAAAAACAACAAGAACATTGTTAATGCAGTGCTTCTTCTGCAGTGATGCATCTGAAATTGACTTTAATGTTTTCATGTATTTATAATATGTAAATATATCATAAACCCAAAATTATTATAAAAACACAGTGAAAAGAGTCTACAAATTCAGACTTCCTGAACATTTTCTCACTTTTTTTCCTTATGGATGGAAAATTTATGGCATATTATGATATCGTATGATCATTTAAATGGATACATTCAATCTTTTAAGATGGGATAAGCTGTGCTAAATTTGCAGGCTCTTATGTCTCTGTTTCAGAGAATTTTTAATCGGTGGTTTTTGTGACTATAAGAACTTTGTCATCCCCCTATTTGTATGTTTCCCTTTTCTTCATTAACCAACAACATCTTTTAAAAAAAGGCAGTGGTTTTTTTATCAAGCAGCTCTGTATTTGTTTTTTTTATGTTTTAGTTATCACAGAACTGGAACAGGCTGTAATAGAGGAGCTTTGGGTAGGATGGCAATGTATTCTTGGGTGACGGATTAGATTCTGCCCTCAAAGAGAGGCACCTATTGATGATGCTGTGTGTGCAGCTCATGATGGACAGTGGTGGTGTAGCGTCCTTCTGGACAGATTGACAGGATAAAATAAAAATGTACAGGGTTTGTGTGATGTGGAGGTAGAGCAAAGTTTGAGACATCATCTTACAAAAATAAACATTTTTATGAAATCACAGCAGAGTTTCAGATGGATCAGTTTCTTTATTTATGTTGTGTGTGGAATTAAATGCAGATTTCAGAGTCATGTTGGAATACAATTGCCTCTTTAAAGCTAAATTGAAAAGCTTTAAATTATAATCATGGGTACCGTTAGCAATTGGTTCCTGCCATGTGGCATTCTCAAAGGTTTTTTTTTTTTTTTTTTTACAGGTGTTTAGCTCTTGAAACTTTACACTGATTCATGAATTATACTTTGTCAAGTCGCCTCGAAGTTAAATAGTTGTATATATATATGAGCAATATCACGATTAGCAGGGCAATATAGCTGTTTATCGGCACTTGTGGGAGACGTGCGTTGGTACGAGGCCACAAGCTGAGTGCTTTGTGTCCCACCAGTGCTGACATACAGCCACATCTGCTATGAGTGTGATATTGCATTTATACAACAGTTTGATGGCATAACCCTGTGTATATAAAAAAGAAAATCGAACACAGAGACTCATAAATCTTATTACGAGGAACTACTTTCTTCCACCATTCATTCACATCTGCATCTGACAGTCAGAACAGCAGAAACGGTTACTACTTCACAGACGTCACTTTAGAGCTCGTATTCGAATTATTCTCTATTGTAATGTCTAAAGTGATGACAAAACAGGTGATTTTGCTCACATTTTAAGATTATAAGGCTGAACGGCATGAAATGCCATCAGTGTAGAGACATTTTCCAGTATTTCTCTGTTGTAATCGGAAGATCACAATAATTAACCCCGAAAAAGCTAAAGCAATGAAACGCTAGCAGATTACTGTTGTGCGATAAGGAAAAACGTTTAACACATGCGGGCATTTCTTCTTTCTTTCTTTTTACTGAGCTTGTTTCCAGTAACGAAAACAGGAGACTCATTAAAAACAAACTGATGGCCAAAAGCGATTCAGGGTTATACAAAGAGTGGTCAACACAAAATACATACATTCCTGATATGCGAGTCTCATCTCACACTCAATACACTACAATTATATGGTATATATACAGCACTACAACTTACAAAAGAGAGAGATCGACTTAGAAAGTCTCTTACCTGTTTAATAATGATTTGATCAGCTGTAGAAATTATGAGTTTTTCTACTCAAAGGGCTTATTTTGCAGTTTCTGTCGCCATCTTGTGGTTGGACAACGTTAACCCTCTTTGCTTTGTTTAATGATAGGCTAATGGCTGCCGATATATAAACATCTAAAATAGGCACTCTCCTTATAAATGAACAGCATAGTTGCAATCTAAACAACTACATTCTTGCCTATAAAAGCCTTAAAAGTACATTATGTTGTCCAACAGCTGCAATATTCGTCAAACTGTAGTGAGTTTATTGATCTGCTGTCACTCTATGTGGGCGGAGTAATACACAAGAGTGAAAAGACTGTACTAGTTCTGATATCGAAGAATATTTGCACGACTATCAGCCAATTAAGATCGAGAACCAGACAGAAGTGTATGAACGATTAATATATGTATGATGGTCATTGATTTTAGATCCTTGATGCATTCATAATTATTATAATGATAATAATAATATAACAGATAACAGTGGGGTTCGTAAGACATAAAAAAAGCATTTTAAGTTTGTATATTTAAATTGTATACATATACATATAATAAATATAATTTAATAATAATGATACATATTATTGCATTATTCTTATAGTTCCCCATCACTTTCCCCATTGTTCCCACTGGGTACTCTTCTATATAATTGTGAAGCGATTGCAAGTTAAATCTCAGATAATGTCTTAATATATGTGCAGTCTTCACATTTTATGCAAATACTCTTTTCGTTTACTGGTTGTTAATGGAGTTCAAATGGCCTCAGCTGAGCCAGATATAGAAGATATTTTTTTAGACAGATACTGGTTATTTATGCAGGACTATTTTCTGGTTGTCACTGCAGTGCCCAGAAACAGTGGGTAGGTAATGTGATACATAATGGGAAACATTGACAGTTTTGTGAAAGCATTTTTCTCTGTGATGCTTCAGGGCAGCAATGTGCAGTTAGGTTTTTAATTTATTGTGCACTGTGCTGTATTCAGGATATGTAATAAAGCACAGGGCTTTTACATTACAAACCTTACCAACATTAGTGTTTCCTACAAAAATCCCTGTTCTGAAAAGTAAGAAAAGATGAAAATGTAAGACTGGGGTGCACTTACACTCCTAAAGTAGCTTAATCTAAACATGTTATATTCACCTTTTTAAGACAATCGTTAGTATTTGGAGCAAGTTAGATAGTACATACAATGCAAAAATGCTTTTGCCAAAGATAAACGCCAAAATTTATTCCATACAGCAAGCAAGTAATCTGCAAAGGAGGTAAGCAAAATAATCTTGTTTTTCTTTTTGACATAATATTTAGCTTAGCCCATTGGGCTGATTATTTTGCTAGGGAAAAACTGGGTTGACATCATTATATAAAACAAGACAATATTTTTTTGCTTGTCTACAAAATGCTTCCTGATTCAGGAATTTTTAGATATTTGGACAAGAAACAAGTGAAAAAAACAAACAAACATGTATTTACAGTGTATTAAAATGTGATTTTACTGTAGTATATACTGGGGCAGTTTGTACGCGTGGATATAATTTTGTACACTAAATCTGCAAACTTTAATTTAGTAGTCATTATATTTCTAATCTATATGCGGTGCAACAATCCAAGGAATTTTTTACCTTGCAGGGTCTGAGCAATAATTGGTGCTACTGAAGGAATAAATTGTAATTATGGTATATGTTTGCATCCTGTTAATGACTTGAGCTGTCAGCAGTGATGCATTAAGCCAGCAAAAATAAATTGCTTCCTTCAAGCAAAAGATAAATAAATAAACGATATAAACATAGTCCCAAATAATGTCATTTTGGGTTTCAGTTTATTCAGGTTGGTAACATAACTGACAAATAACAAATTATTTCAATAGTACAGTTGTTAATAGCATAAGGAAGACAAATGATTTCATGAAGTTGTCAGTGTTTGAATTACATTTTTACATAATTAAAAGTCAAAGTCAGCTTTATTGTTAATTCAACCAGGACATGCAGGGAATCGAAATTGCCTTACTCAACCCTTAGGTGCATAACAGATCAAATTAATACAAAAAGTTTAAAAAGAAAATACAATAAATACAATTACACATATAATATGATCTAAAAATATAAGTAAAAATAAAAACGATACAATTACACTTAAGGGCACATGGCAAGGAGTGCAAACTGTGTGCAAAAGCAAAACAGTAGTGAAAAAAAAAAATTCAGTATAATGCAAAATAGTATACCGTGCAAAAAGCTTGTAAATATGAAAAAGTGCTAGTGTCTTAATACTTAATAATAATCTTAGACCTAATAATCTTTACACTTACATTCACACACACTCATACATCTGCATCAGTCACTTTGTTTAACTTTGGGCAGCTAGTTACCTCATTCTACCTCCCTGTATATTATTAAAATTAGATTTAATAGTTACATTTAATAAGCCATATAAATCACATAATTTGGCTTAAGAGTGGACTTCTATAGAATCCTCTTTATCATAAGCTTAAAAATGTTCTTAGGAAAATATAAGGTTAATAGTTCTCTTATGGAATCCTATCATGTTAAAAATCCTTATGATGTCTCTTTATAAAGTCTCTGAATTTTTTTACTATAACAAATAATAACGCTTTGGTGGAGACTTCATTTAAATCTGCTTGTGAATATGCTACAGAACCACAAGATGGCTCCAACAAACCAATTTTGCAGACACGTAGACAATGCATTGTTAAAAAACATCAGGCAAGAGTTCATGTTTCTAGCGAGGTAAGGGGTTGTTTATGAGTGAGAAGGGTTTTTGTTATATTTCATTCCTTTTTATTTGGCTTCACCATCGACCCCTACTCTTGAGTTGACTTAATTTAGTTTGTTACTTTGTTTGAATTTGCTACTTTATTTCATTATTTTTATTATTGTAAATATTCCTTTTGTGTGTGTATATATTTGGGGATTTTTCTGGTTTCACTTTTTGTACATTAAATCACTTTTGTGTGTAGTTTTGTTGTTAGTGTCTTGTGCTTGCACCCTCACCTTGTGAAAGTACAACACCTTTTAAATGCTATTCCTTGTACCC